CCGGTCGGGCCTCATACCTCACCCGGTCGGGTGAGCAGTGACCGGGGACAACCCGGTGTGCGAAGATCACCAGAACGTGGTGAATTATCTGATTTTGACCAGACCCGGTCGGGTAAGTACTTGACCCGGTCGGGCACCCGACCAAAGGTGTTGAAAAACACCTATAAATAGCACTCTTTTTCTTCTCTAAAAATCATCCCTTCTTCCATACTCTTAAGCTCAGTTTAGAATAGCATTTCTTTATATTTTTCTAGCTGTATTTAGTCTCCAAATGAGGAGCTAAACTTCCAATTCTTGGTGTTACTCTTGAAGCTTGTTGATTATTAAAGTTGTGAGTTATTTTCTTAACTTCTTTCCTTGAATATTAATTAATAGTCCTTTCCTTAATACCATCTCTATATTGATGTTGGGGAGTGTTGCTAAGATGACAATTAGTTAACATCTCGACATTAGTTAGAATGATATTGTCTTCCTCTATATTAATGTTGGGGAGTGTTGCTAAGATGACAATTAGTTAACATCTTGATATTAATTATACTAGGATTTATCTTCTTTAATAATATTCTTCCTTGAATATTAATTAATTCCTACTCATATTTCATATTAATATTTTGAACATTACTTAAAGGATCAACTAGTTTTGTTCCATATATTAATTATTACTAGAAACGATCAACGAACCGATGGTTAATCGTTGATGGTTTCACAAGTAAGTAACTTCGGTTTATTAATGCATGGTCGTCGTTAATAAACTTAAGAGGGATTAATTTTGTTGGTTAAACTGAAACCGTTGTGTTGAGGTTATCAATCTCAATTGATTTTATCAAGGAGTTAGAAAGATTAAATGCTACTATTAAATCGGTATAAGGTGTTGTTCTATATTTGATTAATAGTAAGGGTTATTAATGAACGGTTGTTGTTAATAACTACCCTCGATGAAGTGGATATACTCCCCGATTGAGTATTCGAGAGGGAATAAGTTATAGATATAACAATGATCGACTAAAATATATTAACAAGTGGAAAGTAGCAATGTCAAGCCCTTTTTATCTTTGAATTAAATCTCATATAGGTCGTTCATCTTAGTTTTTATTTTAATTAAATCATTCATCACCAAAACCCCCCTTTATTTACTAAGTTTCATAAAAAGAGAATTATTCCTTTCCCTGTGGATACGAACTCTACTACGCTATACTACGTATAAGTGTTAGTATTGAATTTATTTTGACGCACCGTGACAAAGTGCTCGTCAAAGCCTTTGCACCAAGTAGGTGTATATCATAGACAAAGTGAACTTATAGTAGTTATGTTTTATTTATAAAAAAAACATATTCTCAGTTAGGAGTAAATAAGTCTTATTTTAGGTAGAAAACAATGTTTATCCAAAATTTTCACTTTTTCTATGTTTAACTTCTATTTAAAGAAGTCCTCATCAATTAAGGAACAAAAAATACAAAAAACAATTTGTAGTTTTAAATAATTAAGACTTTTTTAAACAAAGGGTATTTAAGGCCAATTAACTATTACTTGTGTTTTCTTATATCCTTAGTTGGTGGTGTATTCAAGTGATAGACTTTCACTGCAGAAAATGGTTTCTGGAAAGCAACCCATTTTAACAATTACTTAAGAGAAAGATGCATTTCTAATGAGTAATATATACATTAATAACACTTAAAAATAGTTCATTTCAAAAGAAAATAATCCTCCTTGTTTTTTGTCCTAGTTTTTTTCATTAGTCCAAAAAAATGATGAAAAAGATGAGAGATTCAACCAAATATAGAAAAACTTTGTTGTTTGTTTGTGAAAACTAAAAAAATTGTAACTTTACACCTCTTTATTTTGTTTTTGTAAGCAAACATGGAAATTCTGTAAAATGGAATATACCTCAAAAAACTGCTTCATTAGCAGAACATCCATCAAACCACCGACATACGGTCACTGAGAATCTTCTAGAGTGTTGCTATAGTGGGTGCACCCAGACCTCTCAAAAAATCAGTGTAACCTAAGAGCATGCATCTTCCGTGTTCCTTTCTAGTATTTGTCTAAAAATCATGTACCCTACAATGTTTGGTAAGCAAGACAAATCAAATAAGAAACATCAGTTGCTTTCTACTGGCCTAACAAAGCACATGTCAGGCTTTCAAGTTCTTAAATAATTTAAGAGTGTTTAACTGAGTTGGCTTAGAGAAAACTCAATATATTAACACAACTTAAATTGCTAACAGCACCTACATGGCTACATCCCAACATAAATACATCCAATCATAAAACCACAATATCATTATATCATATTTTAAATTATTATCAATATATTGAGATTGTAAAAATAGTTAAGTGGGAATAAACTAATAACGAAAATATCTGCAAAAATGTTGAAACCAAAATTATGAAAGAAACTAATAACAATTTACTTTTCTTTGTTAAGTAATAATTAAATTTATAATTAGACTAAATAATAAAAAATACTGAAAAGTATATTCCCTATAAAACTAAATAAAATTGAAGATTGTAAAAGAACAATGAAACTCACACCAAAACAAAATCAATAAAAATATGGATCATTAAAATTACTTGGTTGATCCAAAATTGGATTTTCTTTAGTGGAAGGCATCTAGCCTGAAGAGAAAATAGGAGAGTCTCAACAGAAAATCAAAGATTATACTGGATTTTATTCTACATCTGAATTGGTATGTGGTATGCCTAAAAGAATCAACCAAATATGTAAGAGTAACTTACCTGGCAGTAGTTTTTCCTTCCTATTGTATGTGAAAATTATTTCCCATTGATAAACAACTCATACGTGTTTATGATAGTGTTACTTGAAATGTAAACACAATGCTATCATTAGACCTTGTAATTTTTTTCTAAACGTCCAAAAATTAAAACTTTTCTCCTAAAGCAGTTAATTTTTATTTATTATTTATATATTTTCTCATAAATATCAATGACATCATAGTCTTTAGAGATGATATGCACACAGTAAGATAGTATTGAAATATACTATAACTATATAATACTTATCAAAACGCTGGAATTTAAAAAAAAAATGAATCAACACAATTCTAACATCTCTTTTGCGTTTACGACCGAATACATGTTCAGTCCAATGCCTTTCTTGATTCTTTCCGCGACAGATAATCGTTCTCACTTCTCACCTATTGTTGTGGTCACGCCCTAACTCTTGGATTTTTTTTGTGGTCGCGTCCTAGCTCTTGGAACGCATAAGTCTGCTGGTCAGATTCGAATTGAAGTTGTCATGCGTTCTTGTTTGGCCCTTCGAAATTTAGCATCGAAGGTGCAAGGGGACCAATTGAATAACCCTATTGGGCTATCGGCCCACACAGTTGGGCAGTGTAGTACACACTTTTATCCAACGGTTAATAGCATAAGGCTTGATGTACTTTGACCATATTGATGGGATATTTTTGAGCGGGAAAGTGAGCAAAAAATCCACTTCCTTTTGTATATAGATAGAGTACATAAGAAATGAAATTCTTCTTATATTAAAGATCACATATTTTTTGTCAAAAAAGGAAAAATGACATTCTTCTTATGACAACTCATAAAGGAAAGTAAGACAACCAAAATGAAATGAAGGGGTATTTATAAACATAAACCTATACTATTCCTATATTTGATATCCGAAAATGTAACAATGTGGATGAGTACAAGCTGAGGAAAAGTGGGATGTAGCTCTAATGAGCAATGGTTTATTCTTTACGCTATGTTTGGTACGGTGTAATGCAATGCAATGTGATAGAGTATGTAATGCAATAAAAATTCTAATGTAATTGAATGAAATCAATATTCCATTACTATGTTTGGTTAGCAGTGGCGGAACACCCGAGAAGAAGAAAAAGTGCAAATTTAAAAGGGAAAAGTTCATCAGCTGGGAGAGGGAGTAGCTGGCCGCACGAAAAGAAATACAAGAAAGTATAATCTCAAATACATAAATTTTCTAATGTTAAGATTATTTCATGTATTAAATTAATGAATTCCACAAACGTAATGCACATTACATTACGGTTTAAAATAAAATGTCATACCAATCATTATATTTGAATCAACAAGTAATGCTCATTACAATACGTGATTGATTACATCATACCAAACATAGCCTTAGTGTGTTTAGGATTCATTGTTCTAAACTTCTAATGCCAATTTTGATAATTGGGGGTGAAACCATTCAAATCAGGGATTCTAAAAGAGATAATGGTCATCTTAGTCTCTGTTTTACAACATTTTTTACAATAATATTTTGTGCCAAGTTGATGGAGATAAATATTTCAATATTTCATCCCAAAGTAGACTTGAAAAAGAGGGTAGATAAATGTGCAAAATTAATGCTAAACGGCTAACCTAACTGATCGCATTGTGCCAAATAAATAATTGAAGTTTCATTCATCAAAAGGTATAATCCAAACAAGAATAGCTCGAACTATTAACAAATATTTTATACGTTGGTTTATATTTTATACATCTAATTTAACTTGTTACTATGAACAAATACTTCTAACTTAGTTTAATCAAATATATATATATATATATATATATATATATATATATATATATATATATATATATATATATATATTTAATTTGAAGTATTTATTTGACGACGTTTTAGTGGACAACGAAGGTCATGTGCTCCAAAGAGAATATAACAAAGAGACCACCATTAAAGATAGATATGGAAGTTCAATTTGACACTTAAAAAGGATTTCCATTCTTAATAAATAATTGCAATATATTCACTTTTGGATTATTTATATACTATAATTTGACTTATATGGAGTATATTTTAGTAATAATGTAATATGTAGTATTAAATTGTATTTAAAAGATGATCACACTTTAGTCAAAGTTGTGCTTTGATAAATGTGAATATGGAAGTGTCACAATTAAATAACAACAATGAACCATGAATGTGATTATACTAGTTGAACATTTGGTGGAACTACACACCTTTATTACATTTAAACCACATGTAAAAATTGTTTCAGCATTTCATCACCAAGAAAGATCAAGTGCATGCCGCTGGTAAATATGACCATCCCAGTTCCAAAAAGAGATGTAATTATTCTAGGAAGTAAACTAGTAAAGTTGACTAGTAATACATCAAAAAGTACTACACTTTCTCACAAGCTGGGAGAAGCTTACAAATATTTATTATATATTATAACAAGTGCTCAAGTGTAGCACTTGTGTTAGTAGAATAACTGGATGAGATTTCACTTGGACAGGGTGAAGATTCCCACACCACACTAGACTTGCATGCATTAGTATCAGACCCCATACTCAAAGGGAAGCCATTGAAAGAAAACCTAATGGAATCATCAATTATATCTGGGGGTTCCTTTCCATCCACCACAGTCTTACCTTCCCCCTTTTGGCTCCCCTCCGTAAGGTTTTCCGGTAGTGGAACCACCGGAAAGCCACCGGTGACTAATCCACCACCACAGTCTCCGAACACTGAACTTGACATTTCTAGCAAAAAGGAAGAAGCATCATTAGCAATGATGTTGGTGGGGAGTGGTGTTTGATGATGTGCGAATAGGGTAGAAGGAAATGCGTTGTAGCTCGGGGAGGCGTTGTTGAAGGGGCGGAGGAGATCTAGCGGCTGAGGGGTGGCGGTTGCGGTGGCGATCTCGGTTGAGAATTTGAAGCCATTGGTGCAATGGAATTGGAGGGTTGAACAAGAGGTATTATGAGTGTGAGCATGAGTGTTGTTGGTGTCTAGGGTTAAGACATCTTGAAAGGGAGTTTGAGGAATTGGAGATGAAACTACCCATGATTGATGAGAAAGTGCCCTGTGTACATTGGAGTTTGCTTTCTTGAAAATCCTACATATTGCCCATGCGTCCTGTGAAAACACCAAATCATTCTTGCACATTATATTGTGGCATTGTTATTATTAATATGAATAATAATAGGATGACAACTCCGGTACCCATTTAAAATATGGGATACCGTACCTGCCACTCACTTGATTAGTTCAAATCATTACATCATTTTTAATTTAAATTTAAATAATTCAACTACATCATTCTGATTGGTCCATGTGAACAAAGGTACGGTACCTTAAGGGTACCATAGAATCTACATAGAAGTATGCATAATTAAAGACACTATTCAGGAGTAACACCTGGAAGGAGTTAAAAAATTATATTTTACTCCCTCCGTCCCGGTCATTTTTTCCGGTTTTGCCTTGGCTCGCAAATTTAGATAGTGAGAATATAAGTGGAAATGTATGGTTATAGTTGTGTAAGAAAAATATGAATTAATGTGAACCACATATTTTTTCCAAAAGTGGAAGTTGGAAGAATTAATTGGGACGATCCAAAAAGGAAAGTTGGAAGAAATGATCTGGACAGAGAAAGTATTTCAAAATACTCCGTAAGAATTATTAGTCCTCATAAAATAATAATGATACGTAGTAGCTAAAATTTTTGAAGTCCTATTTAGTAAAAAAAGAGTAGTGATATTATTTGATAAATTATGTTATGATATGGTTCTAATGTTCTATGTATGAAAATGTCTTAAATATATATAAAAAATGTCTTAAATATATATTCCATTTATGTGTGTTTATATCAGGGATAGAGGTAGCTAGGTGCATATTAGTTCCCGACCAACTCCAAATTAATTAAAATTCACCCTAAACTTTAATTAGTTTTAGGGTGGAGAGAGATATATATTACCTCCATCCCACAAACATTGGAACATGAGAAGGTGAGGCAGTAACTAACAAAATTGATTTTGTGTGAATGATATTAAATTGATAAAGTAAAAATAAAGTAAGAATGATTTAGAACAACACAAATTTTATCAAATTTAGTATGAGACAATCTTAGTGCGACGGACCTGAAAATGAAAGATATGATAATCTTAGTGCGACGGACCTGAAAATAAAAGATATGATAATCTTAGTGGGACGGAGAGACTATATACTTACACTCGGAGGGATGATTTTTTCAAAGACCCGTTTGTGGGTGGGAAGATGGTGGTTTTCGGGAGACGACGGCATGCGAAACTCGTGCATCATCCAGTCCGTTTTGCTCCCTCTGGCGGCTCTACCTTTGTAGAACACAAGGGATTTCTTTAGTCCTATGCATTTCGAGTTGTCGGAGGAGTAGATCGGCCGGTCCGTTCCGGTCGCCTTCCAAAACCCGGCCTTCGTCACCCGGTTCGGCCGTGCACTGTTCCTGTACTTCCTGTCCCTTGGGCAGTAGAAGTACCACTCTTTCTCTCCAGATCCAGCCAGCTCTGCTTTATATATATGAAACATATTTTATCAAAGAAGAATATAAACATTGTAAATGGAGGTTTAATTGTCATAGGACATGCTATTATATTCGATTCAAAATAAGAAGCATTGTTTTTTTAATTTACATGAACTTATAGCCTTGTTTTTAGTCTTTAACGTTTGATGTTTGATCAAGAAACATTTTTTGACAAGCAAGCTAGCTACAAATGTTGTATACTCAACGGTCCATTCAAACTTGGCCAAATTTGATCGACACAAGAAATAATAAATCAAAAATTGTGTGGTTCAGATTTATGAAGACAAAGAGAATTAATAGGAATTACAAAATTTTTTTTAAGGGAAAAGGGGCAAATAAGCCCTCGAATTAACCTAAAAATGCAAATCACCCCATTTATAGGAGGCTCTGTCCGGACGTTGCCATTTGGGGCAGTTTCCGGTGGAATTTTTTGAGAATTGTTTTGAGCATCTTCTTCATTAAGTCTAATTTAACCATACCAAATTTCAGCTAAAAATGCAACCGGGAAGGCAGACAAATAAATGTTTGAAGATAACTGCGCAGTTAAACAACGCAGTATATTTCAGAAAATTATTTGACTGCCTTCCCGGTTGAATTTTTAGCTAAAATTTGGTGTGGTTAAACTAGACTTAATGAAGAAGATGCTCATAAACATTGATAAAAAAATCCACCGGAAACCGCCCAAAATGGTGACGACGGGAAAGAGCCTCCTATAAAAGGGGTGATTTGCACTTTTTCGATTAGTTCGAGGGCTTATGTACACTTTTTCCCATTTTTTAATTAAAAGATAAAGTGACAAAGTTAGTGAAGCAATAAAAAAAGGTTGATAAAGTTTTAAGAGACAAAAGACTATTACATTTGTTTTACAATAGCTAACGCATATTTCTATTTGGAATTTTTTAATTATTTGATTCATTTTCATACTTCCAACCTTTTACCAAAATTTTTTTTATGCTCTTTCCTACCTTTTCAATTTTTCTTTATCATCACTTTCCTTGTTTTTCTTCTCTGACTCTTTCCTCTATTTCATACTTTTGTACTTCTTCTCATTTTCTTTCGTGGTTTTTCTACGCTAATTATTATCCCCTAATATGTTTCCTAATATCCCTAAAATACCTAGTGTGGCAATATTGGAGAATGAAGGGAGTAAACTAAATCATAAAGGAGACCTATGTTTCAGAAACTTTTTGACATTTTTACATAAAAGAAAGTCCTCCAAATAGGACTTATTCGGTCTTCATAAAAGTATGAAACTTCCCAAACTAGGAGTGAATGAGTCATATTTTAGGAAGAAAATAATGGTAATTCTACTTCTGCACATTGTCTATATTTTAGAGCCATTTAAGAAATTTTCTCTTTACTTAATACATTGAACTTGTTTTGATTCATTTATATATATATCTGCAAATTTCTAAAAATGATCTCGGTTCCACAAAAAGAGTCTATTTATACTCTAAACACTTTTAAAATAGGACGTGGGCAATTGTCACTCGGAAGAAATCATCCCTTGAAACAGTGCTATAAAAGCATGCATGAGATGGGGTCGAGCTCAAGCCTCAAGCATTTGAAACATATACTCCATCCGTTCTTTTTTAGTTGCAACGGTCAACATTTCATATTTGCCAACGTAAGTCTTTGACCGTAATTATATCTTAATTCTATTAGTAAAAAAATATTAAAAATCAGATTTTGAAAATTTGTAATGAGATGAATTGAACAATATTTTTTAAAAAAATTAATTTTCATAAAATAATAGCGTAAAATGTAGTCAAAGTAGAACATGTGAATAGTGTAAAATTCAACATGTTACGATTAAAATGGAAAGGAGGATAGTATATGTTAGACTAAATAAGTCGTATGAAAAGAAAATTTTGTATAAAATAAGTATAAACATCTTTGAATGGTTACTACTATAACATTACATAATGAACATATTCATAAAAGTTAGTTGTTTTGATAATTTAGTCCACACTATCATTTGAAAATTTGATCTTTCTAACTAATTTGAACATTTCCAAGCCTAGGAAGAGTTTTTTTGTGCTTAGACTTATACCTTTGAACACCTTTAGTGATCAGCCAGCTTCCAATTGCAAAGGGGCGTTCCTCTACTGCCTCACGTATAGGCCAGACATTTCTCTGATTTTTTTTTTTTGTTTGTTAAGTCATTTCTCTGAGTTCTTAAAACACTCAATAATGCGTCAAATACCAGTTTGTATTACTGTTAGGTTTTTTAATTTGTTCTTATAGTATATATGTCTATACTTGTTCTATGTATGGGTATTGAGGAAATAAATTTTTGAGAAAGTTTTTTAAATAGGAGTAAAGTATTGATAAAACAAAGGTTCCCCGCTTCTATAGCAATCGGTATCATCAACTACTTTAACCGGTTGAAACTGAGGTGCTGATAATGAAAGTACAACTTTATCTATAGACTTCATGAAGATCTTGAGCTGATTTTAAAAGACTACACCCCAATTAAGTAATAATAGCTCAAACCTAGCTATGACAGTTAAACAGCAAAGACTTAATCAACTAGGGCTAGCTAGGGTTTTCATGAACTTCATCAATTTTGAGAGATGTATTATGATGTCTCAAACAATTCAAATACTTACATAAAACTTATAGTTAGATCAGTTTCTAGTGATCACCATACCGATCAAAGCTCAATTTACATCCTTCTATCGATTGATTATGGGGTCCTAACGGATGCAGGTGTCATCCTTTTTTTACAATCAGACGAGAAAGACAAGAAAGTTATGATCTTTAAAGAAGATGATCATATCACTTATAACTGGAGCCAATCAACATACTATACTAAGAATCACTCACATACATATGAAGTAAATTAAAGTGATAGATGAAGAGGGTTGAGTTGACTTACTAGGAAGATCCCATGGATCAAATTTATAGATGTCCAGTTGTTTGATGAGCTCAATGGAGAGAGGCTTCTGTTGAATCTTCCTCCTCAGATAAAACCCCACCAGCTCTTCATCAGTCGGATGAAACCGGAAACCGGGCAACACACTCTCCTCTCCGGCTGCCTGCTTTCTCTCATTCTTTCCCTCCATATACTTTCCTTTCTTTTCTTTCTCTCTTTTTATGAAAGCTGAAAAACTTCCCAGAAAATGGGTGTTCGTGAAATCTCACAACAAGGATGTAAAGCTAAGACAGGAAATCCCTAATTATATATTGCTATAGGGAAAACCCTTTGCCTTTGGAAAATAAAAAAGCATTATATTATTACGATGTGCTTCCTTATTAGGGGTCTGCACCCGAAGGTTCGGCCGACCTTTCTGCTGACTTTTGTTACCACATATGGAAACTTTACAGTGTTAGTCATGCATACTTTTTTTCATTTATCAAATACTTGGTCTTGGTATATGTGAACTGCAATATAGTCAGTAGAATAATAATAAAAAGCTACGGAGTATATAGCTTTTTATTATAATTAAAAAATGCTTAGCTAACTTTACTCGATCATATACCAATATATGTGAATGCTGATATGAAATTAAATTAAAGTTCGTATTTTTAAGGAGAAAATAATTCAGGAGACGGTGGAACTTTTTTGAACTATGCATCACAAATACGGAGCTAGTATA